CTTCTTTTTCCCTTTACTAAATTAAAAGAGTAAAATGAACATATTTTTATGACAAAAAGCTTTTGAAGAGTATTATCTAAATTATTCTGCCCCTTCACATTTTGTCTAATGGTCATCATATTTCATAAAATCCAAAAAGCCATTGTTAGATGACTCTAATCATAAAACTTGCTAAGAGTTGAAGCTGATTTTACCAATTATGTGAATCTAAACATCTTAATCATTAGAACACATATATGAAAGATTATTTCTGAAATTCTTATCATTTCTAAATGGCTTCCCTTCACCTCAGCAATCTCCTCAATGATCTTCCCCACTCTGATTTTAAACTGCCAGTAATTTCTTTTAGATAACAAATCCCCTTCTCCAGGCTCTCAGTGTTAGGAACTAAATATAAACAAATAATCCATAATCCATTGTTTTGAAATGGAAGTTTTAAGTACTGATTTGAAATTTTACTTCATAGTATAGGAACTCTACAAAAATTTGAAATTGTCTTTCTGCTTCCTGACACACCTGATTTCACTTTCAGAATTGCAATTAGGTAAAAATTATATTCTTCTAAGACACTCAAAATGCCATTATTTCATCAAATCTAAGATGCTCTATTATTTTATGTACTACTTATACAAAGAAAAACACTGCTGACTAAACCAGTGTTTTATCACTTAGTTATATCCAGTATCCTTTATTGAACAACCTCTTTTAAATTTAGCTCTATTTTTAGCTTCCATCACTCTTGTTGCTGTGTATTTCTGCATACACAAGAACTTTTCATTGTAATGATAAATCATCTTTTAAATGATAATTAAAATGGAGATTAAACTCTGTAAGTATGTATCAACAGTACACTTAAATCAACTGAACTGATGACAATATTAACAGTTATGACCAAGTTTATACAAGTGTGGGCATTGACAACTAAGTCACAACTGCCATTTAGGCTATAGTGATTTGAAGACATCAATAATTATAAAATATACCACTATTTCAGAAATGTAAATATGAAAAAGATGTGCATATTAGAATTGATAGACAGACATTTGAATCACTTTTTTCTCTTACCATTATCCATATTCTTACATTTCAAACTTCTTCCCTCCATTTGCTTTTCAATCTAACTGCCAAGTTACCCCACTGTGAGAACATCTTTATTACAATGCTACAAAATATGGTTCTTTTTAGAACTAGGTTAAAACTCCTGTTAGGATTTATGAATCAAAAGTCAGAATTTTAAAAGGTAAATAATAAAATTAAGTATTGTAAAAACAATGCATCCCAGGGACACTCAAAATATATAGCAGCAGCCACCACTGGAAATCCAGGGACCTTTTAGCAACCTTTGCCAAAATATAGAAAGATAAAAACTATGTTTTTCTATGAAAGTTCATATTTATTTATTTAACTTGCAGCCAGGGAATGAGCTGAAATTCTGGCTCTGCCACCAATCAGCTGTGTGACTTTAAAATTTTTTTATTAAGGTGTAATTGATGTGTAACACTACAGTAGTTTCAGACACATGACATGACCTGATATTTGTATGCAGTATATTGCAAAATGACAACAGTCCAGTTAACAACCTTCAACAAACACAGTTACAAATTTTTTTTTAATAAGAACCTTCAAATTCCACTCTATTTGCAAATAGATAATACAGAATTAACTATAGTCACCATGCTGTACATCCACATGACAATCTTTGTAACTGGAAATTTGTATTTATTCTTGTTTTCTTTTACTCAGCAGAGAGCTTTCTTCCTCTTTATAATGAGGACACTTGGGGTCCTAAAGGATTTAAAGGATGGCTAGGAGAGGACAGGTATGAGGGACATCTATGAGAGGGCAATCCATGTATTTCAAAAACTAGCTATTAACATAGAAAACCTTACTGTCCAGTGAAATTGGCATATTTTAAAAGGGGTATGTTCGGGGGGGGGGGGGGGTGGTTGTTCCCCATGGCTCCCTTACCACACAACAGGATCATCTTTTACCTGGTTCAGATTTTCTTAAAAAGGATTTAACTACCCCTTTCCCCCCAGAGACACACTCACCACTATCTTTCTCCCATTGCTTATGTTAACACAAATGTCCAGACTTGAAAGAATTTCTATGAGTTTATTTGAGCTAAACTGACAATATTGCCAAGAAGCAATATCTCAACAGACTGAAAAAATGCTCTGGAGAATGGCAGTTTTATAGCATATTTTATACATTAGAATCAAAGTAAGATACCTAAGGGGGTGGTGTACATGAAATCCATTGGTGGTAGATTTAAAGGGGTGGGAGACAGCAAAGCAGGGAAGTCTCTGGGATTGGATTAAAAAAAATAAAACAGAGTTTCTGTGGTATCATACTCCACTGGAGGTTGTGCTCCGGGAAAAAAGGTTTCTTTGACTGGCAAAGGTATGCTCTCTTAGATGCAGAAAGACACCAGACAGGCTCACTTAAAGTAAAAATTGACCTCTGTCAAGAAAGCTATAGACCTAGGATGTGACTACCTGCCACGAACACCATCTAGTTAGGACTTTTTATGTTCAGATCATCCCAGTGGTTAATTCTAGTCTGAGTTTGTAGGGCCTGCCATGCAGCCTTTCCTGAGGTTGTTAGGGTTAGTATGTAGCCCCCTTTTCACCTACACTTATTTAAGAACTAACAATAGCCACTACTTTATTTTTTTTATTTTAATTGTTCAAGTACAGTTTTCTGCCTTTTACCCCCGTCCCAGCCCTCCCCTCCTCCCTCCTGTTTCCACCCGCCCCCCCCCTTGTTTTTGTCCATGTGTCCTTTACACTTGTTCCTGCAAACCCTTCCCCTTTTCCCCTGAAATTCCCTCCCCTCTTGTCACTGTCAGCCTGTTCTCAGTTTCAGTGTCTTTGGTTATATTTTGCTTGTTTGTTTACTGAGCCAGGCACAGTACATACTCATTTAACCTTTACAAAATGATGAGATATTTCCATTTTATAGATAAACTCAAGAGAAATCATATGATTTGTCTAAACGCATTCAAATAAATGGTAAAGCCATAATTTTAACTTGTATTTGTCACTTCAAAACTTACACTACAATTAATTTTTTAAAGTCTTTCCAAAACCTAATTAAAGTCACCATTCATTAATACTCTTACATATCAAAATTAAAAACACTAAGAGTATGATTGGCCATTTCTTAGCAGTCCTCATCAAGCCACCATCATCTCTCCTGTGGATTACTGTAGAATCCTCCTAACGATCTTTATTCCACCCTGTCCCCTTCAGTCTATCTTGATTGCAGCCAGCCAGATCCTTTCTTTCCTTAAAATGTTTTTTGTTTGTTTATGGTATTCCGTTCATCCCAAAATTTCCCCCTTTGCTTCTCTACCCTTAGCCCACTCCCTGCTCCCAGTCAATCCACACAATGTTGTTCATGTCCATGGATCATGCATATGTGTTGTCTAATCCCCTCACCTTCTTTCAACCAGTCCCCATCTCTTCCCTCCCCTCTTACAGCTGTTAGTGTGTTCCATGTTTCTGTGCTTCTGATTCTATTTGCTTATTAGTTTATTTTGTTCACTAGATTCCACTTATAAATGAAATCATATGGTATTTGTCTTTAATTGCCTGGCTTATTTCACTTACCAGTTCCATTCATGCTGTCACAAAAGGTAACAATTCCTTTATTTTACTGCTGCGTAGTATTCCATTGTGTAAATGCACCACTTACATTTGTTATGAGTTTTTTACCCATTCACAACTACTGATGAGCACTTAGGCTGTTTCCAACTCTTGGCTATTGTAAATAATGCTATTAACAGAAGGGTGCATATATTCTTTTGAATTGATGTTTTGGGATTCTTTGGATCTATTCGCAGAAGATAAAGCGCTGAGTCAAAAGGCAGTTCCATTTTCAGTATCGTGAGAAAATCCCATACTGTTTTCCACAGTGGCTACACCGGTCTGCATTCCCACCAACAGTGCACTAGGGTTCCCTTTTCTCCACATCCTCGTCAGCACTTGTTTGTTGATTTATTAATAATAGCCATTTGGCAGGTGTAAGGTGGTGTATCATTGTGGTTTTAATTTGCATCTCTCTGATGATTAATGATGTGGAGCACCTTTTCATGTGTGTGTGGGCCACCTGTATGTCCTCCTCAGAGAAGTGTCTATTCAAGTCTTTTGTCCATTTTTAATTGGATAAGGAAGTCAGATTGTAGCACTCCACTGCTGCAAATTCTCCAGTGGCTTAGATGCCTTTGGGATCCTTCATGACCTGCTCCTGGTTTCTGATTTTTTTGTCTCCAGTTCAACCACTTCACACAACTCTGATCCACAAGATTCTTACTGTTTGGGGAGTTTCTGCTTTGCAGCTTTGGCCCGGCTGGTTGCTCTGCCTGACTGCACTTCACTAAGATTTTTGTATGGTTAATTCTCTCACTGGAGAATCTGTATGGTCCGCTCTCTACTGGAAAATCATCTTTTCAGTGAGACCTTCCCTGGTCACACTAAAATTTCAACTGATCTCTTCCATCGCTGCTTTATTTTGCTCTTTAGCACTCATTATAACCTAAAATACAGTGCTTTTCTTAACTTTGTTTAGTATACGTTCGCCTCAATAAAATGTTACCTACAGGGAGGCAAGGCTTTTAGTCTGGTTTGTTCATTGCTCTTTACCCAGTGCCTGAAACAGTGCGGGGAACGCTGCGGGCGCTTAATAAATGAATGGATTGCTGTCTGCCCCCACCCCAACACCATGCCCGTTGACGGTCTTTTGACACACTAAAGTTAACATGTTTGTGAATAAATGGTAGCATCGTTTCCCTCCGCCACGCATCTCATTTCTCAAGCCTGGCCCCTTCGAAAGGTCCAAGCTCTTCCCTACTTCCTTATGCCCAGATCCGTGCTTGTGTGAGCGGACTTCTCACTAGTACCTACAGGCCAGGTCTCACCTCCTGAGGGCAAGTAAGAAAAGGAGACTCCTACGATCACAACCCGCTTTCTGTAGGACCCTCCACAAGCATCACTCACATGAAATCAGCGTCGGGGACAGCGCCAGGGCAGGCTCAGCAGGGAGCAGGTAGAAACAGCCTGCCGCACACCGCGGCAGTGAGAAAGGACCCAAGGAGGTGTCCCAACTAAACGCCAGAACGCTTGCTTCACAGACTCTGTGATGTCCCCTTCCTGTGTGCAGTCACACCACGCTTCCGGTACTTCAGTGCCGTAACTCCAACCCCCTGAGCCTCTTCCTTGGTCGCGACATTTTGTCGCCAGCTTGAGCGAGGGGCAGGACACCGCACGTCGGGGTCCTTCATCAATGTTGTGGCGCGAAGGCTGTGAGGTCAGAGGAAATGACCCCGAAGAGTGGAGGGTGGGGCGAGAGCTGGGAGCTGTCAGAGCGGTGGGAATGGGTCGCAGTCCTCGCCGGGTTCTGAGCTGGGGACCTCCTCTGATGTTGCTCCCAGGCAAAGGGTGCTCTGAGCGCTGGGCCCTCCAGGAGCGGCCTCTTTTGTAACAGCCCCTGAAATGCAGGGCCAGGTGCACTAAGCAGTAGCAGGACTCCAGCCACAGCGACAGCCCTGAGGCCCTGTGTAGAAGTTCCAGCCCCTTGTCTTTGTGTCCGCTCGCGTCCCTAGACTCAGAGGCAGGTATTTGGGTTTCCCACTGGTTTTTGTCGTAGTGGGTGGGGCTGGTGGGAAGTAGAGGAAAGACTAGTGCAGCAGTCGCCTCCCCCATCCGTAGTGAATGGTCGAGTCAATCTGCGGAGCTGCTTGGTGCTCCGCTCTGTTCCCATCCCTAGCTGTAGCTCGCCTTCCGCCTACACGCGTTTACCTGATTCCTCTGCACGTAATCCCTACGTCCCTGTTTCAAAGCAAGGTTTAAAGAGGAGGTTAGGGAATGTAGAAATGGCTCTCCCTTACTCGTCACCGATGTGAGCACTTGCTTTGGTTTGTTTCTGGTATGCAAACATTTAGTCAAATATTGAGATGTACTTTCCTTGTGGAATGGAAAAAAGTGAACACATGGGGATTTCTTTAGAATTGTCACTGGTCGCTTTTTCAAGGCCCCAGTGCCCCTGTTTTTGTTTAGGACAGAAAGACAATTAATTGGGGGGAAGTATATAAAATAAATGAATTAGTTTTGTAAACTGTTTTACTCATGGTGAAGTCCTCTTTTTGCCCATTTTTGGCTTTTATGTCCCAGTTTGAGTTATTTCAACCCCAAGTTCTTTGAGGACATAACATTGTGCGTTTTTCACTATAATTAGCCTAGCAACTGGCAAACACCTGACTTCAAATAGAATCTTCAAGATAATTGTTGAATGAATGAAATTTCAAACCCAATTCCTTACATTGTTGTTTCTCTTCAATCTTTCATCTCAGTCGTTTTTATTCACCACCTTTCTTCCACTCACCAAGCGAGAAAATCTCTGTGTATATTTTGTGGTGGGCCTTTTTGTGCACTCTTCTAAGAGGTAGTTAAAGAAGAACAATGATGAAATGATGTATGCTGATTAATGTGCCTTCTGAATCATGTACATTTTTTATTTGGTTATTTAATTTTTAGGTGTCTAAGTTTCAGAATCATCTCATTTTAATCAACTATTGTAGAAGGATTGCATAATAAAATGCAACCGTTTAGTGTTTTCCTTCCCTTTCTCAGTTCTGTTTTTCAGAAATAACCACTTTTTAATCTTACCTAATTTTAGGTCTGTATATTGAATAATTATTTAAACAATAATTCTTTTTTAAATAGCCTTAATATAATCCACATCATCCACAACCTCTCTTTTCCAATTTTTTGAATAGTTATTAATTTTTAGTTTTCATATAGGTTAGTTTGTAATTCTAAATACATGTAAACTCAATTTTTTCACATCAATTTTCAAAAATATTTTGGCTCCTTATTTGGGTAAAATGAGGAAAATAGTGACTCCACCTTTTTCTTGACCACTTTAGAAAACAAATCTATTCTCTTAGCTGGACCTTTCCTTATAGTTTCTCCAGCTTAATGATATTTATATTTCTTAACTACATGTTTTTGCTTTGTTTACATACTATAAACTCTCATCACTTTAACAAAGGACTTTCTGATTTCTTTGTAGGAAGAGGTACATAAACTTTCTTCGTCAAGTCCTCCCATTTTGTGCTTTCTTCACTACATTCCTTCTTTGTAAGAGAAGGCACCATTTCCTTTCTTTGCTAGAGACTTTCCCCTTGCATCCCAATCACTTTCTGTTTAATTTTAATAGATTGTGTTCTAGTGCTTTAGTACAGCTTCTACCCTGGATTGTATTCGTTGAACTCTTGGGTAAATTGCAGTGTCTCCTAACTGAACATCTATTATTTTGTTTTCTCCTCTGTTTTGGTATAATTCATCCTAAAGAAACTTATTTATAAAAGATATGTGGATGGTAATTTTACTTGTTAATTTTTGCATAGCTGTAAATTATGTTGTTATTATGGTTGATAGTTTTGCTGGGTATAGACACTAAATCTTCCCCGATTTCACCATCTTCTAACTTTCATTGTTCCTTCTGAGAAGATGAGAATGCCAGTCTGATCTTAATTTCTTGCTGCCAGAACTATGTGTTTGCTCTCAGAAATCATTAAAGTTTTTAGTTATGCTTGATGCTTTGAAAATTTATCAAGTCTTGATGTGAGTTTAGTCTCCTTGAAATGAGCTCATTCCAAAGGGCTAGAATAAATGTCTCAATGTGAGTCTTCTTTTATTTTATCCTCCTTGAAATTATGAGACTTTTAATTTGTAGGGATGTTTTCCTTCATCTGTGGGGAATTTTCACCTGTTCTGCTTTTTAATAATTTATTCTCCTCTGTCTCTCTCTTTGAAACTCATTAAGGTGATTGTTGGCTTGATTCTCTGTGTGTATTGTCTTCTTATGTTTTTATCTATTTGCCTTTTTGCCCCATGTTCTAAGCAGTCATCTCAAATTTATTTTCCACCACTTCTATCTAATTTGGTCATCACATCAAGCACTCATTTTTAATTATTCCTTTCTCATATTCTCTTAATAGTCTGTGTTTTATTTTTTCATTTTTCTTTTGATTTAATATATATTAAAATGTATTGTTTTTAATTAACCAGTTTGATGCATTTTATACATATGAATATCCATATGACAAGCACCACCCCAATCAAAATGTAGAACATTTGCTCTACTTCAAAAAGTTCATACTTTTCCCTGTCCATTTCCATCCTCCTGGCTCAAGGCATTGTGTTTTCATGTATATCACTGCAGTTTAGAACTGAAGTCTGGAACTGCATTTAAGTGGAGCCATAGGATATGAACTCTTCTGTGTCTACTTTTCTCATTAACATAGTGATTTTGAGATACATCCATGTTTTGGCATGTTTGTTTCTTTTTTGTTGTTGAATGGAATTCCATTGGATGAATAGGGCATGATTTGTTTACCCACTCGATTGTGTGACGTGCATTTTTTCCATTTTGTGACTGTTAGGAGTAAAACCACAACGAACATTCTCATACAAGTATTTTTATCGGCGAAATTTTCATTTTTCTTCCTAGTAGGAGTAAGATTTCTGAGTCATAAACTTGGGTATTTTTAACTTTAGAAAGTTTTCCAAACAATTTTCCAAAGTTACTGTGTCATTTTACACTCTCACCAGCAGGAGTATATAAGCTCCAGTTCCACGTTTTCCTGGACAGTTGTATTTCCAGTCACTTAAAATTGAGCTCTCTGGAATGTGTGCAATGGTATGCCGTGGTTTTAATTTGCATTTCCCTGATTAATGGTGTTGAGAACGTTTTCTAGTGCTTATTGTCTATGTGTATGCTCTCCTTTGTGAAAGTATATGTTTCAGACTTTAATTTATTCTTATTGACTTGTTTTTATTATTCAGTTGTATGCACTATTTATATATTTTTGATACAAGTTTATCATACATATGAATATATTTGATAAAAATGTCATATATAATATTTTCCTTATATTTGGGTTTGATTCTCATTTTATCAAGAGTTCCTTTTGATGTGTAGATTTTTTTCATTTTGATGAAGCCCATTTTATCAAGTTCATCTTTTATGATTAGTGCTTTTTTAACATGTCTAAGAATTCTTTGCCTCGCCTAAGGTTGCAAAGATATTTTGTTATGTTTTCTTGCAGAAGACTTATAGTTTTAACTTTTATATTTAGGTCTATAATCCATCTCAAATGTAGGAGTTGAGGTTGATTTTTTTCCATATATATATCTTGTTGTTCCAGCACTATTTCTTAAAAAGATTGTTCTTTCCATATTGAATGTTTGGCCTTTGTTAAACAGCAATTTGTTGTATTTAATTTTTTTCATTTTAAAACTTAAACATATTTTTAAAAATGTATAAATATGTGGTATAGAGCTCACATACAGCTATAGATGGACATATATAATATAGAAACTGTGGAGTATGATAACAATATGAATGTTCACTAACCCATCAGTTAAGAACTAGCTTATTACTCCAGAGTTTTGGAACTTTTTATGGGTCCTTTCCTAGTCTCACTCCTGCTTTTTATGCAATGGTACCCCCATCTGCAAGTGTGTTTTTAACAATTCCTTTACTTTTTAAATATATTCTTACATTACAGGTAGATGTTCCTGAGTTACTTATTATATAGCTTTTCTTGCTTTGAATTTTACGATTATATTGCCATAAGTTTTGTGTGGCTTTTTTTCCCCATACTCTACATTATATTTCTAAGATTCATCTATGCCATTCAAAACTGTTTCTACAGTTTGCCTATTTTTCCTCCTATTTGCTTTTCCATCATATGAATGTACCACAATTTATTTAACCATTCTCCTATCTTTGGATATTTAAGTTGTTTCCACCTTGGGGATGGATAATAGAAACAATACTATCCTGATCTTTCTTGTACATATCCACTTGTGTATGTGTGTAGAAGTTTCTGGAGGAATGGAATAGGAAACTAGTGTCAAACTGTTATCTATAATGATTGTACCAATTACATTCTGTTTCTCCCTATTCTCCTAATATTATGTATTTTCAGGTTTTTTTAATGGTTAACTATCTGGTGGATATAAATGCTCATGTGGTTTTAGTGAGCATTCCTTAAATATTAGTGCTGTTATTTATCTTCTCATATATATTGGCAATTCCTTTTTACTTTTTTTGTGAAATATGTTCTTCCATATCTCCTGTTTTATATAGTGGATATAATATCTTCACAAATCTTTCTAAATATATTAGAGTTGGTTTTGGATTTTTCTCATAAGTTATTTTGGTTGCCTTCAGGGAAGTTTTCTTTTCTTGGTTTATTTTGTTCTTTGCCTCAACTATCTGATGATTCCTGGACAGCTCATTATTTAACGGTTAAGGAAGGCCATCTAGGAGCTTTGCTCTTATGGACAGACTTGCTGACTAGCATATTCTGTTTTAAGAAGGCTAAGTAGGCAGCCAGATCTTAACTGAGATCCTACAGATTCCAGAATTGAGAGGAGTTTGCTTTTGTCACCAAGACCCATAGCAACTGTGTATGGTGATTTTCACACAGCTATTTATTGTAATTTTCACATCACATTTGTTTAATTTCTCTAATGAAGAACTTTACTTTTTGGGGGGGGATAACTGCCTAGTTGGGGGACAGTGGCAGAATTGACTCTTCTGTTCTTCAGCTGTTCAAATCATCTTTCACATTTCAAACCCTCTTCTGACTGTTGTTCACCAGTGTTTCTGCATTCTCTGAATCTGAAGCCTCTGACTCTCAAGAGGCTGGGCAAACTTCTTGCATATACTATAGGTTGTAGCTTTCATCTTTCTGTTTCTTGTGACAGGTCTCTCCCATATGCAAAATGCCTTACAATGGTTTATTGAAATCTTTCATCAGTTCATGGCCCTTTTCTGTTCTCTTTCTTATTATGACTTTATACATTTTAAAACATTTTAATTCATTTGATGAAGTTTCTGGACAGACATGAAAAGCGGCCTGTTACTTTAATTTAGAATTCTAGATTATGCCCTGGCTGGTTTAGCTCAGTGGATTGAGTGAGGGGTCCTCAAACCAAAGCATCGCTGGTTTGATTCCCAGTCAGGGCACATACCTGGGTTGCAGGCCGGGTCCCGTTTCAGGGGTGTGCAAGAGGCAACCGTACATTGATGTTTCTCCTCTTCTCTTTCTCTCTCCCTTACCCTCTCTCAATAAATAAATAAATTAATTTAAAAAGAGTTCTAGATTATTATTGTGAATGCTGAGAAGGGAAGATTGCAGGGCTTGGCCAATGGCCAGTGGAATGTCTTTTTAGTGATACACTTGGGGAAGAGAGGGTTTTTTTGTTCAGGACCTTTTTTATTGTGGTTGTCTTCATGTGAGTCAGACTGATTTTGGAGCAAGTTTCTTAATCTCCAGGCTGCTCTATCACACAACTCAGGGACACCATTTGCTTTGGAGTCCATGCTAATAGGATCCTCCCAGGATCTACACATGGGACATCTATCTCTAACTATGAGACAATAACACTTGTCAAGATTCTTGTGGTGATTAAAACAAATCATATGAAAAACACCTAGCCCAAAAATTTGACTAGTCATTTAAATAACATTATAGTGCCTCTTTTATCTAGTTGAATTTTTACTACTATTAATAGAGTCCCTGGTTATTTAAAGTATCTGGTTGGAATCTCTGTTTCCTCGATTTCCCTCATTTAAAAAGGAAAGTTTTTCATAACCTGTGGTTTATTCAGGTGTTAGGTAAAGAGAAAAGCTTTATTGAAATGAATATGCAATAATGAACTTCCTCCAAACTCAAAACTGTCCAGCATCATTAAAGAGGAAATGTCTTATCTTTTCCTTTATATGCCATTGACATTCTTTGATTTTGCATATACTTTAGAGCTGCAATATAAATTTAAGATTGGGTAGTTTTTTACTTTTTGATATTATCTTAGAATTTTTAAACTTTATATATTTTGCTTTGAAGCGTTCAGACTGGCATTTCTTTCTATATTGGTATAACCAAGTTATATACTGGCATTTCCTCCGAGTTATATATTTATTGCTAATCGTGTTTAAGGTGCAACAAACACTGGCTTAATGTATGATTGATCTGCCAAAGAAATTTTGTCCTTTTTCAGATTATCTTGGAAGACCTGAGACTCCGAGATGTTTCCCTTGAAGGATGCCGAAATGGGTGCCTTTACTTTCTTCGCCTCTGCTCTACCACATGATGTTTGTGGAAGCAACGGGCTTCCTCTCACACCAAATTCCATCAAAATTTTAGGGCGCTTTCAAATCCTTAAGACCATCACCCATCCCAGACTATGCCAGTATGTGGATATTTCTAGAGGAAAGCATGGTGAGTTGTTACTGTTTGCTCTGTTTTGTATTTTCTGCTCTTTTACCTTGGTTAGGTTGTAAATATTCAGTGTTATGTGAAGAAATCAGTATGTGTGTGCATGCATGCCCTCTCACCCTTCCACAACTCCAGGCAAAACTCCAGTCGTTTGAGTTTTTCTGACTACATTTGAATGATTTCTGTTTCTCAGATCTGAGAATAAGGATTTTTAATTTTCTCTTTCAAGGAAACCACCTATCCTTAAATATATTTCTTCCCCTCTATAAGAAAGAAATGAACGTTATAATGTTAGAAACTTTAGAGTTGTCTATTGGACTGTATTTTATTATTGAAAGTATTAATTTTGACTAAGACTTTTCCAATGAAAAAAGAGTCACTAATTTTTTTTTGGAGCTGCAATAGTCTTTTCATGTAGGATTCTATATAGAGAATTGAAGTGGAAAAGTTCAACCCTGTTGGTTAAAAAAATCAATGTTTTACCAAGAATATGTTAACTGCCATTTTAGTAGTATACTCATAATCAGGTTCTTCCATGTGCCATATCTTAGTTCATTCAGACTACTCTAACAAAACACTATAAACTGAGTAGCTTATAAACAACAAACATCTATTTCTCACAGTTCTGGAGGCTGGGAAGTCCAAGATCAAGGCACCAGCATATCCCATGTCTAATGAGGCCTACTTCCTCACTGAGAGCCATCCTCTCACTGTAACTTGACGTGGTGGGAGGAGCAAAAATTCTCTCAGGTCTCTTTAATAAAAGCACTAATCCAATTCATAAAGGCTGTGCACTCACAACCTAACTACCTCCCAAAGGCTCCATCCCCAGACACCATCCACTGGTGGCTTTGGTGGGGGGCACAAATGTTCAGTCTATAGAACACCTAAAGACGCTTATAGTGGCAGTATTTTAATTATTTTAAAATTATTTTTGGAAGCTTAATTGCATGCTGAGGTGCCACTTTTAAAAATTATTTTAAATGCATCTCAATCAAACGTGTTTAATTTTCTAACATAAAGTTAATCTTGTATACTTGCTGATATTGAACTCTTTTCCTATAAAATGGCATTTCAATATGTTTCAACCTAATATTAAAGGCAAACTACATTTTCTTTCTTGTTTTGCTGAAAGTTAGGTTAAATGAGAGTTTCAAGTAGTCTGGGCTGTGTCTTAAAAATATTTGTTCTGAAAGTTTTATAGACTTTGAGTAGAAAATGTTTTTGTAATAAATATTATTAATGGCTATTATTTATTGAGTGCTTATTATGTATTAGTATTCTAAGTGCTTTACATTATTTTAATTTAATCCTCATAACATAACCATGATATAGTAACCATTATTATTCTCATTTTACAGATTAGAAAATTGAGGCATAGAACAATTAAATGACTAATTCAGGAACTTTGGCAAATTTGTTGTTAAAAAAAAGATAAAATTTTTGCTAAAGTTTTTATTTAGTACATGGCTTTGATGACATTAACTAAATGTTTAAAAATGATAGAAATCATTTGGGGCTTTTTACATCATTGAAAATTGGTATTGTCAATCCCTGAATGCCTCTAACACCTCTCTCTGCCCCATACAATTACAGATTCTAAAGAATTTTCAACTGTCAGGTTGGCCCAGTTTCAGAACCACTCTAGACAAAAGTTGGCAATATAGGGTATCCTCATTATCATCTGTCACTGGTGACCATAATTAATCTTGCTTGCTATATTACATCTGCAAATTTGAAATGTGCCTGCCTTCACCTGTCTTCCCAAACTCTTGCCACTTTGCTCCGTTCTTAGGACTTCTTCATTTTAATCTCCTCAAGTGCCCTTTGTTTCTTTCCACTGTGTCTGGAAGTTTTTTCAGATATTTACTTCATATAATTGGGGTCTTACCTTCTGTCCAGTTTCTCTTAAGCTTCCTTTTCTTGGGTTAATTTGGCTCAAGGGTTCTAGATATTTCTTGACCTCCTTCCTCTCCCTAAATGAGCTCCCTTAAATACTGAACCAGGAAAAATCTTATGACATAATCCCTCTAGGGAACACTTCTTGTTAGTTATCAGTGTCGGGTAGAGAGAGATTCCCTAGACAGTATTAGACTCTGTTAGTGCTGGAGCCAGGTCAGTAGTCTGGGTAGGCCCGTTAGGGTGTGTCTACCACATTGCTAGCTATTCTGCTTCCCCTGCTCTCTCTGCTGTTAGAACTCAGCAGTCCTCTCTTCTAGGGTAGCATAAGTCATAGGTATGTATAAAATTCATAGTTTAAGTTTCACTGAGTGGAATGAAAATATCAGTGATTGTCAAAGATCAGGGAATCTGATTACCTTGTTTATATTGGCAGTGCTCATTGTCTTGAAAAGTTGTGTGCATAAGGAGTAAACAGCTGAATTAGGATATGTGTTTATGTAAGGGTCTGTTTGTTCTAAAGCATCCCAGTCATTTTAGGTGCATATAATTTGAAAAATTTGGAAAGTTTCTAGTCAAGAGTCTTCTCACCACATTTTTCAATGATGTAACAATACATGATTTGGGTTTAAATTCCACTCAGTTGTCTTCTCAAACAATTCTGATTTTGGTTTCTTTTCTCTGTATATTCTTTTCTTGTTATGCAGATATCTTACATCTTGTCATTGTTATTCCCCTGCCTCCACCTTCCCCTTGGTGTTTGTAGTTACATGTGACACATGGTCTGTTTTAGTAACACTATGTTTTCACATGCTGGATTAGCTCAGAGATCAGCCTTTCACTGTTTTCTACAGAGCGTTCAAAACTGATTTAAGGTGATGTTAGTTTCTTGCTAAATCAGTGGGATGAAGTATTTAATCTCAAGAATATGGACATTTTATTGGAATTTGAGATCTTAGTTTATAAAAGTAAAGTTGAGGAAAATAACTTTAGAATAAAAAAGGCAAATATAGCATGAAAATAAGTTTAAAAATTAATCTTTTTTTCTGTTGAGGTTGAAATCTCAGCTGTGTTTAGAAATGGAGTGAAGGTTGTAAATTGTAATCCATCCATTTTATTTGATATTCATTACCTAGACATTTTTCAGTCATTGCTAGTGAAATCAAGAGCAAAATTATTTTAACTAGTAGATTTGAAATTCAAGTAGAAAATAACAGAATTGTTAAGGACCTCTAAGATAATTTATTCTGTACCTCTAATTGCATGTAATTTCAACCTAAGTGTCCCTATCAGTTCAGAGTTCCTTCAGAGAAACAGAACTAGTAGATATATGTATGAAGACATTGATTGCTATAAATTGGCTTATGTGATTCCAGAGGCTGGGTAGGCAAGTCTGAAATCCCTAGATGTGGCATCCAGAAGGCAGTGAACATTTGGGCAAGAGCTGAGCTGCAGTCCATGGGTGAACTCTTTCCTTCAGTGAAGCTTCTATTCTGCCATGAATGCCTTTGCAGGTGGTTGCGTCAGGATCACCCAGATTATCTTAAATACTCTTCCTTTGTTAAAGTAAACTTCTTATAGATTTTAATCACTTCTAAAATACCTCCACAGTAACACCCGAATTTGAATAACTGGAGACTATGGTTTAGCCATCTAGACTTATAAAACTGATCATCACAGTGACCTGGTAACAATACTGTTTCTTAAGTACAGAATATTTTGTTAGTTTTACTGTATAACTATTTATTTAAATATTATATTTAAAAGGTGATGAGCTAGCTTCAGTTTTTACTGTGAATAACAAAAGAATGATGCAGTGACTGTATTCTAGTAACCTTTCAAATTACCTTAGCATATTCACAAATTACCTGTCCTTTTGTTTAAAAAAAATTTAATCTGTTTTTAGTTCTGTCCTTATTCAATGCCTTTATTATCTTTCTTCTTAATATTGTACTCCTTTCAATTTCTTATCATTGATTTACAACATAAAATTCAGGCTATATGTACAATATAGTGATTCTTGGCGTTCATCAGATATTTGTTAGAAGAAAGATTATTTCACAGTTCTTATATGTTCTACTCTTTAAAGTTCATCTTAGTGTCACATTTGTTTTTTATAAATAAAGCCACTACATTGCTGACTTATATTTGGCACATTATAATTCCTAAATAGTTTTGCCATATTTTATTCTGTAAAACTATATTGTTTTTATAACAAACAGAAGTTATTTTCAAACAGTGATCCAGAGTTTCAGAATGAAAAGTCTCTAATGATTTTTTAAAAAAAATTGATTTGTATTGGAAACATTGTTTTGGTATACACTTCATTACCTCTGGGAGAAACTTTGATATTCTATGAAGCATCATGGCTCGCTGCATAAAATAATGATTCAAAATTCCATAGGATCGTAAAACTTTGGCATGCTCTGATTTATGATATTTTGAAGGAGTTTCCAGAGAAGTCTGCCAAATTATAAGCTAATGCCAAACACTTGAAATCTCTCATAGTTATGAAGACTTATAAGTATAAACTTATTAATGGAGTATGTACATTTTAATAAATTCTAATATTTTATATTAAAGTCAGTGCTATTGTAGTATTATTATGCCCAGTTTACAACATAAGCATATACCATTTCTACACAGGATAGATTTCAGTTTAGATAATGGGACTCTTACTCATCATGTGAGACTCTTACTCATTTCTAATGGCTATGTCATGCCTTTGCTCAAATTAAGTCATTTAACAAGGATTTTTATATTAAATGCTTATATTTTCAAGGTGCCATTCTAGACACTGGTGATGCATTTTGAACAAAACCAACATTGTTCCTAGAATCATCATCTAGTGGAGAACAAAGACATTTAATACAAATAAATACAGATTTTTTGAGTTGAAACAGTGCTAAAAAAGAAAATGCACTGTAGAGTAGATTACCTTATAAGAGGAGCAAATTGATTTGGGGGGATCAGAAAAGTGTTCCTTTAGGAAGTCACGTTTAACTGGGGAATGAATAATAATAATAGCTAACACTTATTGTGATTGCTATGTGCCAGGCACTAATGTAGGATCTTATTATAAATTAACTCATTTTAACCTCAGAATAACTCTGAGGTTGGAGCTATTGGTTTCTTCATTTACAGAGGAGAAAACTGCAGCATAGAGAGGTTAGCAAACTTCCCCAAGGTCACAAAGCTAATGAGTATTAAAACTAAGACTTGCGCCCAGACATAATAGTCTGTGCTTTTAACCAGTATGTTTCATGATAGGTGTTAACTGGGAGAAGGGAATGGGGAAGATCATTTTCAGCAGTGGGAATCCATGCGCTGGTACCTTAAGGCAGGAAGCAGGGGAAGAAAGCCAGTGTGCATGGAAGTTGGTGAGCAAGGGATAAAATAACAAAAATAAAGTGAGAGAGGAAGTTATATATTCAGATTTATTATTCTATCACTTGGACTTTAATATTAAAATATTAGAAGGGAATAAGGATTAATGGGAGAAAATCAGTTAAGAAACTGCTATAGTAATTTAATAAGAGATGATGCTGGCTTGGATCCAGATTGTGGTAGGCAGAGCAAACTGCACAGATTGTGGAAACAGTTGGGGAATAGAAATACCAGAACATTTTGTTTGGGTTTGAGAACAGGAGATTTCTTCTACATTTGTAGCTGGAGCAGCTGCCAGAATTGTGGTACCATTTACTAAAATAGTACTACAGGGAACCAGCTTAGCTTAGAGAGCAAACTATACATTGATTTGGGGTTCTGGAGAGTTTGAGGTATTTTTATATTAAAGTGCGGAATTGTGTACACAAGTCTGGAGTTCAAAAGAGAGAGTTCTGGGTTTGAGATAAAATTTGAGAGTTTTGTCAGCCTTCGTAATAAATGAGGAGAAAACACAATGTGAAGAACCAGAATCTAAGATGGGGGACCTAGAAACATTTCAGCTTGGGTAGAAGAGATGCCAGTGTACAGAGTAGACTCTGGAGAGAGAGCCAGATAGCTGGACTGAAAACGTACAAAATGTGGTTGGATGGAAAGCGAAGGATTGCAGCTTCCCATTTTGGTTTTCTGAAGCATTGTTTTCTTTTTCCTTCTAGAGCTTCATAGCTGTACTAAATTGCTTGGAGTTCAACTTTCCATGCTCTTTCTCTTTTCTTATTGAATCAAAGAATTAGACCTTATTTCATGATTTTCTTTCCTATTCTTTTTTTCCTCATTTAGTTCTTTCAAATTTAATTCTTTTTAAATTCCTGTTTAGATCACTTGGAGTCTTTCTTCTGAACATGATAGCTTTTATTTAGATCATTTTTAATTTTAGTGTTTCAGATCATTCTGAATAATGTCACCACTCCGACAGCTTCAGGTTCCGAAATGTGACCCATACAACATCCCATCTGCACACCTCACACGACTGCCTGCATATATACCATTGTCCTCCATCTCCCCTCCTCCGTGTAAGACCATACCTTGAACTAGTCATTATTGAGTTATCCCTTTTACTGGAGCTCCCACCTTGAAATTCTTCTTTCCTATCTTGTGCTATCTCATTTGTCTTCCTTTGCTACTCTTTATTCACCACACCTCTATGCAATTTTCACTATTCCCAGTCTCATTGCACCTTCACTTCTTTATCTTGTCTCCTATCTATATTTTGCATTAACCTCCTTTCTTATCTAACCTAGAACCTACTTTGCATGGATATTCACAGTAACCCAGTTTCTTTTAAACTCTTGATCTCTTCTAAAATAACCTTACAAATCCCCAACCAGTTGGAAACCCAGTTGCACTTTTCTCTTCTCCTCTTACATATTTGATATTATGTCAGACAATGTGTTAGTCACTAGGGTTATTAGTGAAGGAAAAAAATATGCACCAAACCTCAGAACTGTGCTATTCCTAGTTCTGTTGGAAAATAGAAATTATATAATTTTGATTCTGCCCACCAACATTTTTATTATTACTTGGTCTTAGAAGGCCCCATGATGTTACAAGCAATCCCCAGTCAATTTTCTATTCTTTCTCCATAGTCGTAATTCAGAACTTTCTATTTTTCTTGAGTTTCTGAACTCACTTTCACAGATCTTGTGTTGGACCCAGGCTGTGGAGTTATAATCTGTCTCTAGCTCCCAATTTTCCCTTTCCTTCAAAATTTCTTTACATCTTCAAACAAGCTTTTCCTTCTCTTAGCCCGTGTCAGAAGAAGGATCACCCTTTTCCAAAGGTGAGCCTTTCTACTTATTTGCCTGATGGGAGAAACTCTAGAGAAAAACATGAGATGAAAAGAAATTGTTATTTAATGTATTATTTTATTGAACATTTATTATACATTTCTCTATATTTGGTAATTCTGTAGTTAATATAGAGTTTGAAAGTCTCTTTTACAATAGCATTTGTACTATATGTGCATATCTTTAGTAGGGTATGTTATTTTGTTATTAAAGCATTGTATTAATGAAATATAACATGGATTGTTTTGTTTTATTCAGAGAGACTGGTGGTGGTGGCTGAACACTGTGAACGGAGTCTAGAAGACTTACTCCGGGAAAGGAAACCTGTGAGGTACTGTATAATATCAGGACATTTAAATGAAACACAGAAGTTGGCAAATAAAAAGGTATTTTACCTAGAAAATACAGAGTTTTAGTTTCTTGTGTTACTTGTTTAATGATAAAATCCAGGTACAGTCTTTCATTTTGGGTAATTTAATTTACAGACCTCATAGAAATTTATTGTTGACATTATCCAATGCTCGGCTTTCATGAGGTAGACATTCTCTAAAGTACTTGACAAAGAAATTCCTATGGAGTATACATGTGACAATTTGAAATATTTTCATTACTAAGCAGTTCTGTAGCTGAGATTAAGAGATTAGATAAGGTTTTCAGGAACATCTATAAAGGACACATGGACAAAACTAAACGGGTAGTATTGAGAGTGGGAGGTGGGGATGGCTGGGGGGGATAGGAGAAATGGAAACAACTATACTTGAACAACAATAAAAAATAATAATAAGAGGCCAAAAAAAATAAAAAAGACTAACAACAACAAAAAGAAAATAAGTCTACTTCTGTAAATTATGTAGTTGAGATTTTATCAGTTTATTACTTTGATTTTTAAAATGAAATGAATAGTTTGTGAATTAGTAACAAAATGTAAGCATTTATATTTTTATCCAATTATTGTGACTCTTATAAAGATAGAAGAAGATCATATATTGTTTTAAAAAACATACAATGTGAATCAGAGAAAGGAATTTGTTCAAGATTCTTTTGTAATTATGCTACATACATCTTAGTAATAAACATATTATATAAATTTAAAAATATCTTTAACAATAACAAAGTTTTTAAAATAAAAAAAGAAGTACCCTAAGCTTATTTAGTAAATATGTTTTTATATTTATAATTTTTGCATGTCCCAGATCTTAGATTTTATTTTTTAAGAACATAATATTCTTTGCTCACCAGTTTAAATTTATACTTTATAAGTCACTGATCCTGTGACAACTATTTGACATTAAAATTGAGTACTAATTGTAGCTACATCTTTATGGAAAAAAACACTTTAAATTCAGTCTGGGTTATATTCGAATAAAGATTTATAAATCAGTATATATGATGAAGAAGCCTCCAACTACCTAGGCAGCCTTGGACAATTCTCTTCATTATTTTTCTTCTGTAGAACAAGGAGTTTTACTTGATATAGGGATCATTCTAAAGGAAGTTATTCTCAACTTTATATTTTACTTAATATACATTATATTCAATAATATAATATTGACCAAATACCTTTACAAGTGTATATTGTTATGTTTTATTCACTAAATGGTAGATTTTTTGAGAGAAAAATCTGAGACAAATCTAAGTGTAAAATTACAGTGCTATAACTTAAAAGGCTAAATTCCTATAGAAACTTCTATTTTATGATCTGGCAATCCTAATCTTCCTTAGAGGACCTGCTCAAATTTTGTGCCCTAGGTATCTCATTTGCCTCACTCTTGTCCCTGCCATGCCATGGTATTTAACCAAGAGAAAGGAAAAATACATGCCCACCAAAATATGTGTGGAAGAATAGTCCCAGAAGCATTATTCATAGTAGCCCCAAACTGGAAGGAACTGAAATGTCCATCAGTGGGAGAAAGAGTAAACAAATCAGGGTATGCACACCACTAATACTGATACATGAAACATGATGAGCCTTACAACTACTATGCTGAGCAAAGGAACCAGACACAAGAGCTTATTTTCTTCTATTTATGTGACATTATAGAAAGATTAAAACTCATTCAAGGTGGTGGGTATAAAATAATGCTTGACTCTGGCTGTGGGAAGGGGTAATAGAAGAACTGATTCAAAACAACGTTGAGGGACCCATATGTGGTAATGGAAATTTTTTACTTTCTGATCATGGCATTATATGGTACATGTCCTTTCAAACTTGTCAAACTCACTGAAATTTTCACTTAAGGTATGTGCTTTTCACCTATGTAAATTATACTTTCTTTTTTTAAAAAAAGCTTGTTGAATTATTTTTTGACTTGAGCTATGAATCCTTCATAAGACAACAATATCATGTTATTAATGAAAATGCTTGATCCCATGGCATACTTCTTTATATTTCTTTGTTTAGGAGAAATAGTATGAATTAGTTATTGCTTCTTAACAAATTACCACAACACTTAGTGGTTTACAACAACAATAAACATTTATCATTTTATATAATTTCTCTGGGTCAGGAATTCAGAAATGGCCTAACAGAGTTATTCTAGCTTAGGACTTCATGAAGCTGCAGTCAGTGTACCAGCTGGAACTGTAGCCATCAAAGCTTGACAGGAGCAGATAATCTGTTTCTTTAAAAAAAATATATTTTATTGCCCTGGCTGGCATAGCTCAGTGGATTGAGCGCAGGCTGCGAACCAAAGTGTCACAGGTTCGATTCCCAGTCAGGGCACATGCCTGGGTTGCAGGCCACGGCCCCCAGCAACCGCACATTGATGTTTCTCTCTCTCTCTCTCTCTATCCCCCTCCCTTCCCTCTCTAAAAATAAATAAATAAATAACCTTTTAAAAAATATATATATTTTATTGATTATGCTTTTACAGTTGTCCCATTTTCCCCCTTTTTCCCTCCCCTCCACCCTGCACACCCCCTCCCACCTGCGTTCCTCGCCTTTAGTTCATGTCCATAGGTCATATATATAAGTTCTTTGGCTTCTACATTTCCTATACTATTCTTAACCTCCCCTTGTCTATTTTCTGCCTACCATCTATGCTATTTATTCTCTATACCTTTTTCCCCTCTCTCTCCCCCCCACTCCCCCACTGATAACCCTCCATGTGATCTCCATTTCTGTGATTCTGTTCCTGTTCTAGTTGTTTCCTTAGTTTGGTCTTTGTTTTGTTTTAGGTTTGGTTGTTAATAGCTGTGAGTTTGTTGTCATTTTACTGTTCATATTTTTAATCTTCTTTTTCTTAGATAAGTCCCTTTAACATTTCATATAATAAGGGCTGGGTGATGATGAACTCCCTTTAACTTGACCTAATCTGGAAAACACTTTATCTTCCCTTCTATTATAAATGATAGCTTTTCTGGATAGAGTAATCTTGGATGGAGGTCCTTGCCTTTAATGACTTGGAATACTTCTTTCCAGCCCCTTCTTGCCTGCAAGGTTTTTTGGGGGTTTTTTTTTGAGAAGTCAGCTGATAGTCTAATGGGAAGTCCTTTGTAGGCAACTGTCTCCTTTTCTCTTGCTGCTTTTAAGATTCTTTCCTTATCTTTAATCTTGACTAATGTAATTATGATGTTCCTTGGTGTGTTCCTCCTTGGGATGGTCTGTTTCTAACATAGCTCACTCATTGGGTGCCAGTCGCTGACAGGAGACTTTAGTTCCTCCCTGACTTCATGTAGTTTTCAAAGTCTCTTGGCTAGCCTCATAGCAAGGTAGATAAGAAATACTTTCTTAAAATTATTCTATATTCACTTAGGGTATTTGGGGCAGAAGAAAGGAAGTAGTTTAGTTTATGAAGAGAGAGAGGGTGGAGCATTAAGGGAATATCCAGAAGTACTAGAGGTGAAATAGGGTCTTCACAAACATAGCTATGCTCCTGTCCAAATTGTTCTGTATTGGGATGGTTGTTACCCATTGTCTTGCTTTCTCATCCATTCTAAAGGAATCTGTAAGCCACAACTAGAGTAGTTTTCTGGTCATCAGGATGGTAAACTGTAGAATGTTCCTTCTGATTTCTACATTTTCTTCTCGGTGCATATATGTTCTTCTTTATTTACTAAAGAACTGACACAGAAAAGAGAAGTTGGTTACTCAGAAGACAAATTCCCATATTTATCATTTTACCTCCACTCTATCATTTTATTTTGTATTTTTACTTTCAATTGTACTATATGAAGATACAGTCAACATTGCTTTGCCAATAAGAGTAAATCCATTTGTTTGTGAAATGTTTTATTTTCCTGTGCTCATCATCCTTCATCCTTGTTTTAGAGATGATAAATCTCTTAGCAGTGAACACCAATAGTTCCAATAATATAAAAGTATAAAGAAGCAACCTGTCTTCAGTGTTTGTATATGTCCTCATGAGGATAAAATGTTACAGGTAGAAACATACTCTTTGAGCAAGTAGTTTCACATGAACAGGGTTAACTGCAAATTTCATATAGTCTTTTATGCCATTTATATTTTCCAATAGTTTTTTAAAAATAGAACATAAAACAACTTTTATCCGTGTTTTTGCCATATATATACATATATGTAATATGTTCAAGTAATATATATATAAATTTTTGTAAATAAAGTCCTGTTTTTTCATCATTCTGGTCATAGACTAAAATTCAATATTTTTCTTGTCCATTTTGAAATGCAACATTCAGCACTTAGTGTCTTTGAGTAGTAATATATCTGTTGAGGTCAGTTCCAAGTTGTTACCTAATCCATCCATCTAAATTAGCTTTTTGGAAAACTGTTTGACTTACATGTTTGGATTACATTAGTCTCCAATGATAGATTAGGTTTCATGTGCAGAGTTGATGTGCTGCAATTTTAATTCTATAACCTGTTTTTAGAAAGTGAAAAGATGTTCTTATGGCTTATAAGTTAGTTCTTTCCCCTATTGCCAAAAGTAAGCACCCTGAACCTATTAAAAACAACAACAACAACAAAAAAAACCCTGATGTAAAGTAAACAGGAAATACATTTAGATGGGCATGCTATTTGAGACCCCTGATTGTTACTAGTCCATCTGTCTCTAACTTTTGCAAAACCGTAAGCTGCTAATTGTCTGGTAATTATTTACAATTGTTTGTCTAAACTTAAATATCATTCAAGATACATACCTTACTGGACTTATATTTTGAAAAAGATTATAAATCTTTTGTAAAATTGGTTGGGTGGGGAGAAGAGAAACCAAACCTAGAAACTTAGAGAAAAGGCTGTGTCAGTTTACTCACTTTTTTCATAATGAATTTAATATCACTGAACTGAGCAATAATGTTCTAAAACATTATAGTAGTAATTTGTATTACAAATATACTATGACTTAAGGCTAT